TGTGTGTGTGCTTGAGTGTTAGAGTGATGCGTGTGGGATATCCAGGGTGATCCAGTGTATGTGAACAGTGAGATGTTTGGGCGCTGAAGTCGCCATAGCCATTTGAGAGTGAAACTCGTATCTGAAGCCATATCTCTGAGTTTTGAGTGGGCGCATGTCGCCAGTGTGCTGCGTTATTGTTTACATGTGTGAAAAGTGTGTTTGAAAACGAGTCTGATTGCATTTCTGACCATAGCAATTTACTAATTTAGGTAATGACCCCCCACCAGTACTTTTTGCAGCCATTGTCTTACAAGTTACAACACATTTGTACACAACCTCGCTTTTTGGGCGCTCAGCCTGCTGGACATCTATGGCTGGCCGGGCGAGCCAAAATGGAAAAAGATTGTACCGAGCTGGTTTGTTTTCGATTTAGTGCACAGCACAAGTCCGGGTCGGGAAAAAGAGGCGCAGAGGTACTGGTGGTTTTTAAGCACCAGTACACCACACATCGGCCCGCGGGTGTCAGCATGAAATCCGCACCACTTTGGAGGCCGCTGATTTTTCTTTTCCCCCACGGCCCCTCGCACTGCGCAGCTCCTCCGAGTTTTGCTTGTGGCGACAAAAAGAAAACTATCTGCAAGGCTGGGGCTGTGTATTAGCGGTTGAAGCTCCTGGCAATCTCGGAACGGCTGAAAGTATGATTACCAGCAATTACATCCTTTTCCCATTGCGAGACACCCAACGACGACTCCCTAATGATAACTCCGTGACGATATCAACTCCCTAACGACGACAACTCAGATCCCAATCCCCAACAACATCACCGAGCTGCATGTCGGCTTCCTTGTCCCAACCCTCCATGCAACCGTGCACCTTTTGAAACTGAGCTATATTCTTCTCTCGATTTCACCTTTCACTATCTATGTACCGCTACTCCTAATAAGCCGATATAGGGGACCCCTGCAAGCATAGCTACCTTTCACAACTAAGGGGATGCATGTTGCCCCCCGCCCTAATCGGTGGTAGTCACCTTGGCATATCAGACTTGGGCAGCAGGCGAAAATTGATGCGGTCGCTGCAAAAAAAGCGGCAGTCTTCACGGCCTGCGGCCTAGCTCAGTTGGTTGAGCATTCATGTGGTATTCAGGAGGTTGTGGATACAATCCCCCACAGCCGCCTACAGCGGGGGCTTGGTGTTTACCAAGCTGAGATAGTTGGCTTGCCCCCCTGGGTTCTACCCTTGGCCATTGCCCCTGCCATCCCTCACCTGGGGTTAGAGGCTTAGGTGCTACTCCCCGGATAGAGTAGAGTGGAGAAGAAGTACCCTTTCCAGCATGCATACGGTAGAGGTAGTGTAACCTTCGGTATCCAGTCTCAGATATATATATGGTCGATAGAGCACGGTTTCTAGGTAGCTAGTGTGAGGTGAAAGAATCGAGAGAAGAATACAGCGTAGTTTTTTCAGGAAAAAAAAGTCCAGTCTGCGACCATCGGGAGCATTGCTACACTACGGAGGGAAAGGAGGATCCTAGCCTGGGTATGCAGAACATCTCATGGGTAGAGGGGTCCAGGTGATCGAAAGCGCAGCTACCACCCTCTACAGTCTAACAGCAGCTCACTAATCACATGCAGTTAAAGACCGGTCTCTGGACGTAATCGTGGTCAGATACATCCAGGAGCAGCTGGAAATCCAGTGTGAGTATGCACTTAGCCTGTCAAACAGCGTCAGAAGCAGATCGTCACTTCTGGCATACAAGATACAGGGCCTCGCTCCACTACAACACTATGCATGTATTTGGACGCTTTTTGGACCAGGTGCACTCAGACGAGTCCAACATCTTGAATGCATCGGGTAAACAACGCATCCAAATACATGTAGAGTGCTGTGAAGGGACTTAAGGCCCACTGCTTCCTCTCTGAGACATCACTAGCATCTTGAAATAAATCTAGCAAGCTCACTTACTGGTCGCCTCGGTTTCAAAGCCTGTAGCCTTCGTGTCGCCACAAAAGGAAAGAAAGTAAAAAACGTTTCCAACGTTCGGCATCTGTTCATATTCTCCTTTCTGCATTTTCTCCTTTGTGTGATGCGCACGCACCGGGTGTAGTACGCACGCGGGCTCAGTGCGCTGAGCATGCGCAACTGCCCCCGCCGCGTGCACAGCTGCTTTTTCCCCTTTCTTCTTTTGTGTTTGTGTTTGTGTTTGTGTCTGTGTTTTCATGTCCACTAGACACAACACAACACATACCAAAGGAAAAAATAACATGACTGTGCCCGACTGTTTCGTCGGACTTTCACCGACTCATCAGGAGGTTGAACCCCGACAGTGTGTCTAGGATGCATTTGACTGATGCATAAGGACTCACCACATTGCCCCGAGAAAACCGGTCGGCTTCACTCACACCAACCCTGCAAGCGTAGCAGACCGCCGGTTCAAACCCATGACAATAACGGCAGTACGGCGGAGAAACTACAGCCTTCCCCCGAATACAACGTACGCCGTACGGTCATTATAGTTGGATTTAGACTGAGAGATGCCTCAAATACAGCTATAATGACCGTACGACGTGCGCTGTATTTGGGGAAAGAAGATAGTCTGTCGCGGCCATAAAACCCAGTCGACATAGTACACACCCACTCAGCCATGAGTGTCTGAGAGAGAGAGAGAGAGAGATTACCGGACGTCAAAGAGAGCTTGCATACAGTCGGAGGGACGATGACGGCATGCACACTCACGGAATCGTGAACTTCTATGACGCCGCGTTGTGTCTTCAAATGAATACTGCCTACATTTGAGGACAGATAAGTTCTCCAAAAGCTCCACTCTTGTCATGACTGTATGCGACTTGAATTGTAGGTTGTATACATCAGGGACATGATGCCCCCTCACAAAATCATGAACTTCGAATGGATAAGAGCTGCATTTGGGGGCAAATACAGTCATGACCAGGGTACATGCCACTGCACACTGTACGCCCTCATGAAAGTTCTACAAACACTCCACCTTTGTCATGACCGTATCTGACCAGAAGAGTAGGTTGTATACGTCGAGGGCTCAACATGCCCCTTATCGAATTTTGAGACATCTCGGATGCACTCAACGACATTTGAAGTCGGGTACAGTCATGATGAGGGCGTTGGACGACAGGTCGTACACCACGCATCCTTGCCATGACTGTGTAGGACCTGAAAGAATGCTTTTATACCTCAGAGAGGCAGGTCGTTCGTGAAGTAGTCGTTGATGAGTTCACGTGTGAGTGCGCTGTGCGCCGCACATGTGCGCGAGATGTGCCACAGAAAAGTACGCCAAGCAGTCTAAAATCGTATAGAGAAAGTTTCTTCTCTGCGCACTCGTATTGAGTTGTATGAAGTATATGTATTAGATATGCACACGTGCTTCAGTGAAGGGTGTTTATAATTTGAAGGGGTCTTATAATGCGGACGGGGTTTATAAAGTGACGGGGTTCATAAAGCTATTCACATGGAGCACACAACCGGAAACACACGCCGAAATTGACCCGCAATTACTGGGATGCCCTTGAGCCACTGAAGAATTGCAAGGCAATGCAGGCAGTTTCCATTAAAAATTACTTTTTCAAAAATGTGATCAAAATTTTCAAAATTTTCTTTCTTCGAGCAAGGGGAATGGTTTGCCTTCACAGAACATGTACGCACAAGATGGAGGAAGAAGGAAAGGAGGGAGGGAGGGGAGGGAGGGGAGGGAGGGGAGGTTGAAGGAATACAAGGGAGGAGATAACCAACCCGATTCCTTAATCCGAACAAAAACATTATCGATATGAAGGGAGACCAGCACCCGCATCGCACTTCCGGAGGACTGCTCACAAACAACAAAACCACCATCACTCAGTTGCATGAAGCCAACCCTGTGTCCATAGGCGGTACCGTACAGCCTATTCCACAATTCATTTGCCCACCCTGTGTGCATGGGCAAGGTACTACTCTCTTCACCCAAGTAGAACGCCCTGTCATCATCACTGCATCTGGATAGAAAGTTGTGCCCCAAATAGTACGGTGCATCAGAAGTACATCTGCCATTCCACAATTCATTTGCCCACAGAGGCTCAACACAGTTTGTTTCTTTTTTTCTCTTCAGCAGCTCTCTCCACTATCGAAAATTACTTACATTTTGGGTTGATTTTGAATACTCAATATTTGGCCACCAACAAGTACAAAGTTACGAGCAAAAAAAAACAAAAAAAAAAAGCAAAATCAGGAGAAAGAGACATGCAACTTGACGCGACATAAATACATCGAGCCGAGTTTCCTCAACGCCTGAATCTGGATTCTGGACGTGTTCGTGGAGATGTGAGCTTGAGGAAACTCAATGCAGTATCTCCACATTTTGACAAACACGTCCAGCTTCAGGATTTGAGGAAATTCACCCCGGAGAGTGGGACTTGGCCGTTTGGGTATACGGCTAACGAGAGTGCCACCGCGATTGAGATACGAGTAGAGGCTACTCAGAAAGCAAAGGAAGGCACTCAGAAAGATATATTCTTCTCTCAATATGACCTCCCCACTACCGACCTACCACTACTCCTAAGCCCATTCAGAGAACCTCTGCAAGCATCGCTGCCTGTCACAACCAAGGAAGGGGATGCATGTTGCCCCCCGCCCTAACCAGTGGTGATCAGGGAGAAGGGTAGGGGGCCACCAGTGGGGGAGGCCGGCTAATGCAACGACCGAGAATTTTGCAGAAGCTGCACCTCCCATCTACTTCTCCCGCCCCCATCGAGTAATGCCCTGCACTCACACACAGCACACAGCCTGCCCCCCTCCACCCCTTCCGCCCCCCTTCCCCCCTCCCCCCCTCCCCCAACAACAACACACCAACGCCCATGATGGCCAAAGACCCCGCCTATACGGACCAGAGGGAGGGGACCAAGCCAACTAACTCGGTTGGCACTAAGTGTGCCCAAACGCTCAATGGGTTGTTTAAAAAAAAAAAAAAAAAAGTGTATATATTTCATGTTTGGCCAAATACAACTGCAAAAAAGAAAAAAAAAATAAAAAAAACAAGGAGAACAAGAAATGCAAGTCATGATGCGATGTAAATACCTGGGTATGGGTAACGGGAGTGCCACCACGATTGAGACATGAGTAGAGGCCACTCAGAAAGCGAAGGAAGGCCCTCAGTCCTGGGGAACGAGCAGTCATAAACCCACATGAAGGAATGACCTGATGGAAAGTCAGAAACAGGACAAAAGTAACAAAACCAATCAAATCCTGCTATAATCTGATTCGACAGAATCGACACCAATACCCCTCCCTACCTGTGTAGCCTGCCCCCAAGTTTTTGAAATTTGAATTGACACAAGACAATATGACTCCCCTTGTCCCTCACCTTCACCCACCCACCACCCCAAAAAAAAAAAAAAAAAAAAAAAAAAAAAAAAAAAAAAAGAGATGATTCGACCCACTTTCAGGGTCGTTTACAACCTGCTATTGGGCGTGCAGCCACCACACACACACTGTGTGTCCAATGGCAAGGACTCCATGTGGAATCCTCACGACCATCGTCCGACAGAGAACGACGACCACCACGGGTGGGTTCGAGCTAAGTTATTAAAAACAAAAGACAACGGACCGTACGCCATAAACGATCCACTGTACGGCAGGGCCACACAGGCCCACACTGATGTCCGCGTGCTGGACCGCAGTCGAGGCCAGGAATGGAAAAAAAAAACATTTTGCTACCAGTACAAAACAAAAGCGAAACGAAAACCCCCCTCGACGCCAGACTTGGCACATTCTGGTGAGCGGGGACGTCGAGGGTCGCCAAAAGGAGGCTTGGAGGTAGTGGTTGTTAAAAGTCAAATCTGGCCGTTGTCATACCAAATACCCTTACAAGGGCATTTGGCGTGTTTTCTCACACCAGTGCAGCATCGCCCGGGTGCAGGGCGCGCATGGGGTATCGACGGCGAGGTGCAATGATGCGCAGCCTGGGTGTGCGCGGTGTTGCGGGCCAGCGGAAGCGCGCGGCCCTTCGTCCCCTTACTTTTTTGTGTCTGCTCATTAATTCTTATTTTTATGCATTATTTTTATTATTATTCCTGCTTTATTTCTACCGTTTTGGCTTGGCGATCGGTTCCGAGGCCGCGAGGCCAACGTCAGAACCGACGGGCCTGGCCCAGTTGCTACATCGCCGCACGCAGGTGGCCGACACGGCAGCCAAGGACCTTGATCACGTGTCTCTTTCGGCGGGGTTGTTTGGGTTCCGACGTGTTCTGGATGCTGGCTTAATTCCGCTATGCGCCGATCTTGAAACTTGGACTGGGGGGGGGTTCAACGTGTGTGCAAGCCAGTAGGTGATTAAGCCTACGAGGTGGAAGAAGCTTGAGTGGCGGGGACTTTTTGTAGGTGCTCCGTCCGCCAACTGCTGATTGTCGTGAGGAGCCTGAGTGTGAGCGTGCCCGTTGGGGCCCAATGGATGGGGAACCGTGCCTGGGCACAGGGGGCACCAGGCGGAGGCCCGCAGCGGTATTGGCAGCAGCGGCCGTTCCCATGACGCTCGTCTCCACTTCGATCTTCAACGTTTTCAATTGAATATTTGCTACTACCACCAAGATCTGCACCGGGACACGCTTTCACCCGGCACAACCTGCAGATATTACAGCAGGCCCACCACCTTCTCACTCGTCCCAGCGTCGAAACCACTACGCGGTCGGACACAAGTCGGGCACTTCAACGCCATCTGTCCGCGCCCGATTGATTCGGTAGGTGGGATGTTGCACACTCCTTAGCTGATTTTAACTCTCATTACCACCGCCCTGCTGTCTACCTCAATCGAGGCGGTGTATGAGCTAACGTGCAGTTTGGCTCTGGCAGGAAGACGAGTACAAAGGGAGCAGAGGTACCTGGGCACGCTTCCGCACCAGGTGCATTCACAGATAACCAAGAAACTTGGCGATGGGAGAAACAACTATGGCGGGGGTGGAAGTTACATAGGGGAGAAGAGGTACCTGTGCGCGCTTTCGCGCCTGGTGCATTCACAGATAACGAAGAAACTTGGCAATGGGAGAAACAACTATAGCAGGGGTGGAAGTTACATAGCCCGCCCGTTCCTCGATGGAAACGAGCGGGTAAAGGTGTTGAGCTGAGGTCTTTTGCACGACCGAATCCAGATTTAGTATTACTTTTGGTGGTAGGTTAGTAGGATAGAGGATAAAAGAAGAAAGAGCCCCGAGGGAGATGACGGAGAGCGAGGAAGGGGGAGAGTGAAGTGGTAATAACTCGGTCATTCCTTGACCGTCTTTAGCGATTCAAGATGCTGAACGGGGGTTTTGGGTCATGGCGACCCCGTTTTTTACCTCAAAATTAGTAAAGAGTGCATGGAGCTATGGAAAATGTAGAATCCAGGTCGTTTCTTGATCAATGTCAACAAAAAAAGAACTTCAAACGAAGGATGTGGGGCGTTGTGAATTCAATGGCGAGCTCAAATTGAGAGCTGAGTAAGTAGATTTTGTGCTGCAATTTGCGGAAGCCTCGCCCGGGAGTGGACTACAAAAGTGTCTATGCATCTAGCCATGTTTTAGCGATAGATTCATTTCCACTCTGCCCATTCTATCGGTAGAAGCCGCATCTCTCTATCTCTCCTTGAGAGTGCGCGGTGGTGTCTGCATTTGATAACTCCTTAGTCCATACTTGCATCGGGTTTTCATTTGGGTGAATCCTCCCACGTTTTAGAGGTAGATTCACTCCTATTTTGCAAGGGGCGTGGACAGGACTTTGCAGAGGGAATGATACAAAAAGAGGAGGAAGAGATACTACGAGGAGGATTGGCGGTGAGGAAAAGCTAGAAGCGAAGAAGGACGATTGGAGGAGAGAGAACGTACCTAATGTTTGGGGGCGGTTGGCATTGGCGACGACATCACATACGTTGGTCTTCAACTTCGATGTGATTCAGTCGGATGAACGTAGATAGGCCAGTTAGGTTGAGTAGTATAGGTTGGGCACTGGGCGTCAAACAATGGGAGCGACATTAGATACAATGTCGGTATGATTAGAGAGTATCCGCATTTGGCACTCAAGTTCACTATACTGCTTTTATTTGGATGGTATCTTGGTGCATTGTGTCTTCTGGTTGGTACACGACTATCTGACTACATTCGTGATTTAGCAACTTGGATTTTTGTCTATCGCTTCCGCTCATATTCCTCGCATCAGTTTGAATGGGAGATTAAATTATGCGCGTAACGGTTGAGATAGAATATATGTAAAGTAAGGAGAGGCAGGAAGGAATTGCTCTCCTTGCACAACGCTCTGCCATGATATTAGCAGCTAAGCTCATCCTTGAGTTTGCTCTGGCCTGGGTGCATGCTGTTGGCCCGGCTTATGGCACAACCTGTATGCCGGCACTACTGTTCTGCGTTCAGTTGATGTCAGCTAGTTGTCGATTGGGGAGATCGATACAATGGACTGAGTTGAGCCATGTAGCCGGCTCCCATCTTAACATTGACGATGACCGCAGGAGGGTGTGGCACGTACTTGGCCTCGACAGTTATCTACATGGCCAACTCCTACGTTTACCCTGTGTGTTGCTCCAAACGTCAACCGGTGCTTCATTATTCTGGCGTAGCACAAGCTGCTGCATTTTCCATTGTGAAGTTGTTGCGCTCAGAGTACGATTGTTGTTCATTGCTACTGCTATAACGTTGCTATTGCGTACGGATGCTTTCTGAAAAGTACTTTTATTGAGTTGCTGCATTTCAAATAGAGCACAGGGGGCATGCTCTATTTTGAACGTTGTCCGTCTGAGCTGCGCAGCGGCCTATTTGGTCAGTGGGGACGATATTGTAACTCGGAAAAGTGATCAGCTTCTGTAAAACAGGGGTATTGTTGTGAGCAGGAGGATCATCAAGAGGTCAATGCCACTCAATGGTTGAGGGTTGACATCGGTGAACCGGACTACTGTGCATTTTCGTCATCATTGCGTGGCCCTCAGACGCATGAAGGTTTAAACACCCTTTCTTGCGAGTTGAGTCCCTTTCTTATATCTCAAGCGTTTGAAACCTCTCCTTCTGCTTTTCGTAATCTAATTGTAGTGTGTGGTTACAAGAGGAAGGCGGCAGGCGGGATTGCAACCCATAGGACCGTATCAAGACTCTGTGGAGAATCTGCCCACCGATTGCGGGAGTTCTGCCGGAACTCAGGAGGAGTTATGGAGGTAGGGAACTGAGAGGTAAGCCATTATCTTCCTCTATAAACCCAGCTAAAACCCTTATATGTACTTCTTGCTACAATTTGACTAAGTGTACTGCATGAATCCCATATGAACTTTATGTTTGACTTTCAAGATTTAAATCAGATTTAAGTAAAGGAAGGCATGCACAATATTAGTTTCAGTTTTGTTGTTTGACTGAAAGCATATTGTAAAAAGGGTTTGCGTCTGGGGAAAAGGTGAGAGGAAGTTGGTTGTGCAAGTCTCCATAAGTTTGGAGGTCCCAGTGCTATGTTTATTTTGATTGTCCGAAAAACCAGACAGGTTTCCATAAGTTTTGATGGTCTGGTTGCTCTGACTTATGAGGGTTTTTTGCGATTGTTTTTTTCAGGGACCAAGCAGGCTTCCATTTCCATAAGTTTAGATGGTCTGGTTGCTCTCAATTACGAGGGTTTTTTGCGATTGACTTTTTCAGGGACCAAGCAGACTTTCATAAATTTGGATGGCTTGGTCGCCTTGTTTTATTTAAGTTTTGTTATGTTTATTGGTTTCTGAAAGAGAGTTGGGCATGTTCCATAAGATTGGATGACTTTAACTCTCCTTGCTTTATTCTGAGGGAAGATCAGGCAAAGGACTGGGCAAGTTTTCATAAGATTGGATGGTCTGGTTTGCAACTATGCACATGTTGGAACCAGAAGGGTAAATTTTGTCTACATCCTTATATTATTTTACTTACGAACATGCTGGTCAGACATGTTTCTATAAGATTGGATGGTACGACTAATAGCTTATCACAAACCGAAGAGAGTAGAAGTTAAAAAATAACTTGTGGTAAGAAGGGTCAGGCTGAACTTTGATCTAAGTTCAACGGTTCAGTCATATGCTGCCTTTAAATATTAAAGCAAAAAGTTATATATAACTGGGATATCTTAAATAGTTCAGTGCGATTAGGTCGGACAGCCTAGTTATATGCCCAAGGAAGAGGAAAATTATAATGCTCCGTGTCTGTGTATATCCA